AAAAATAAAACCCCCAGTGGTGATTAAACACCAAAAGAAAGCTCTATCTGTCCCCAAAAAATGGTATATTATTCATTTCAGTACAGCTTTGCATGACGGAATAAATGTCAGTCAAAGTACCGCAGCGCTGAATACTGAAAAATGGCCTGGCCAGAAAGGGGGTCTAAACACCTGGTCTTCAAGCGGTTAAAGTGTATTTCCACTTTTGCAGTCAAATTTGAGGAAAACCCCCTATGTGTTGCATGTTCCCATTCACACAGCATAATAAAAAGCAATTTCTAAAAAAATATGACTTACCTTTAAGGATGTTTTGTTGCAGCAGGCAACATGCCTAATTCAACTTTTTTACTGAGCATTTTCACAGTGATCTGTGAAAATGCAGTGATAGAAAAACGTAGGACTAAAATTTGAGGATTGTGTTGCTATCATTAATTTCATTACCAGAGAGGATTGTGTCTCTCATTATTTTCATTAGCATACAATGCCAAAGCCAGAGTTGTAATCCTTTGATAAAGTTGAATCATTTGATAAAGAATTGCGTTAATATTAGCGATGCCCCGATACCATTCTTAAAAAAGATTAAGTACAAGTACTTTCCCTCCCGACACTTTCCGATACCAAATACCAATACTTTTTTCTTAAAGGGACATGTGACATTTTTTCTAAAACAATACAGACTAATGATTTTCGGGCAGTTTCCTTATAATTATGAAGAACTCAATCCATTATTATTAAGCAATGGAGAATGGCAACCAGCAATAGAGGACTACAGATCCCATCAAGCCATGCTTATACAGCAATGAAAAATGGCAACTGGCTTTAGAGGACTACAAAACTCAGCAATCCATGATTATTCAGCAATGGAGAATGGCGACCAGCAAACATGGATTAGCAGCTTGCCATTCTCTATTGCTGTATAATCATTGATTACTACAAATCTCAGCAATCGATGATAATTTAGCAATGGGGAATGGCAACCAGCTATAGAGGACTACAGATCCCATCAATCTATGATTATAAAGCAATTATACAGGGCTGCGTTTGGGTCTCACCAGGGCTGCTTGCAGGTCTCACCAGGGCTGCATGTGGGTGGTGGGCTCTCCAGGTGGGGGGCGGG